GGGTTTGCGGGTGGATTTTGATTTATTTTTTAGGTTTTTATTTTTTCCGTGCGGGCGGCCTAAGTGCCTGCACGCGAAAATTGAGGTGCGTCACCCACACAAAAAAATCGGGATTTTCGCCGGCGCCGCTTTCCAGACGGGTGGAAGCTCCGCACGCGAAAATCGATTCCACCCGTACGGAAAAATCTTTCATGTAGTAGTGCCTGGTCCAAGTAAAAGTAGGAAGGCAAGTATATACTGGTAACATGAAAACTTTGTTTTAATTAAGAGGTTACAAATAAAATATATATCACATTTTTGTCGGTACCTACAAATTTAATGTTAGTACCTATAAATATCACATTTTTGTCAGTAACTATAAATTTGTCACACATTTTCGGTTACTTCCATTTTATTAATTTTATAATTCCAAGTTTTAGTGGGGGGTACAAAATCATACTTTTGATGTAATATTAATTTTAGTTTTCTTTTGATAAATAATTATAAATTAATAAATGCAAAGTTTTGAGCGTGACTAGGATAAGTTTTATTATTTTATTAATTCTTAAAATTTAGAAAAAAAAATTCGAAACACAGTACAGACCCGAACTCGTTAGCAACGTATAGTAAGTCGTAACTGACATGTGGGTTTGTAATTAACACTAGATACAAAAATATGTAGTTATCATTTTTCTTGACACGTACGGTGAAAGTCTAAACCACGGGTAGCTATATATTGAATCGTCGGCATCATGTTGCATGTGTATATATTGAGTTTCTCTTTGAATCCATCCACCTTCTAGTCTACCTTTTACCGGCCTAGCATAATGCATGAGTAGCTAGTCGCGATCTGAGAGTGTACCGGAGAATTAAAACGTATTCCTTGGGTTTGAATTTTGCGAAGAGAAAAACAAAACTCTTTGTTGAATTTTGGGATCGATAACAAATTGACGAGGGCGAAGAAGACGATCGATGATCGAGAAAGATCAAATCAAGGACGAATCGTGCGAAGAAAAGCAGCAGAAAGCCACTGTGTGTGGGCATGGCAGCATATGAGCTACTAGCGACCTTTTCACTGAATTGTACTAGTACTACTTTGTGGAGTCAAAGCTGGACGAACATACGCGTTGACGGCCGATTCAGAGAGCAAAATTCAGACTTTATCCTCTCCCTGACCGACTGATGATCAATTCAGTCGCGTCAAAAACATGCAGGTATAGGTCACCATCTCAATCAAGCAAAGCTGTCTGTGATCTATATGCATTTTGGAAAACCTTTTTTGATCTGTTCCTCGATCGATCTGATTCTCCGAGACCATTTGTCAATCCGGACACACTGCCGTCAAGAAACTAACAAAATTGACGAGAGAAAACGTCTTTGATGCGGCGGCGAAAGAGCATCTCGATCAATGGCCCTATTTGGGGGAGCTTGCTTCTGCTAAAAGCTGCCCCAAACTATACACATCTTCTGAGAATTCTGAAAAATGAACTAAGAAGCCAGAAACTGGAGAAGCTGTGTTTCAGAGTTTTTCCAGATTCTCAGAAGCTGGCTACCAAATAACTGCTTCTTAGAATCTAAAACTCTTCCAAACAGGCCCAATGTCAGATAGATCCAGTAGACACCAATATGATCTGCATCCATTTCGGTGGCGTCATGTGGGAAAACATATCCCTGTTTTTTTTTCTCTGAATAGCTGAATGATTGTGTGATCACTATATATTATTCAAAGGTGAAAATTAATTAATTAATTACTATAAAGCTGAAGAGTTGATTTAAAATATATATATATATATATATATATATAACAATATAGTATTGGTAAAAGATGATTTTTATAACTAAACTACCTATATATATGGATCAACATCCTGCGGCCAAGACCCCGAGTGTGGTATTTTTGCAATTAGCCGCCCGACTCCTCCACTTATTTTTATGAAAGACCCCTCCACAACTCTCTTCTTCACTCACGCAATCCATTTTGCAAAAAAAAAAAGAAAAAAAAAAGAGAAAACTCATCCCATTCTGGATCTGGCACAACGGGCACAAAGCACGCGCATCATCGGGCTTCATCGGCGGAAAGGACGATTTTGAGCGGCGCCGTATTCGGACTTCGAAGGCGACGACTACGACGCATTGGCGGAGACGACGACCTCAATCAGCGTGGCCGACGGAACAGTGACGGCGAGCCTTCGGAGCCAGAGATTTGGAGCGACGGCTCGTCTTCAGAGGCTGCCGCTGCTCTCATTGTCGTAAAGTTTGTGAGGAGAGTGGAAACTGAGCTCGGCTGGTGCTGGTGAAGATTGGAGCTGGATGTTTATTTTTTGTCAAGATTGGATCGTATCCTTTTATGGGGTTCTATTGGTTTTTTTAGCTTGAGATTTATCATCTTTTGGGTTCGGCTACCTGTGTGCTTGTCTGAAATGAAGTCTGAATTGCCAGTCCACTTTTTTCGCAGAGAAATTTGTTCTTTTAGTTGTATTTGGTAGAGTTTCAGAACCAGTAAGTTGTGCTGCTCATCAATCATCAGTTCATCCCCAACTGATAAGTGAGAAGATATTTAGCCATTAGCTACATGCCAACTAGTTGAGAAAGTTTTTTTCCACTAAAATTGAACAGAATCTCTGCCACAGCGATACTCAAGAGTAGCAGCACTGCGGCAGCCTCTCCGGATGCGGCGTTGCTCCAGATCGCTGTCTCCGCCGGCGAACCGTCGATTGAGGTCGTCATCGATGGCCAGCATGTTATTTTCGCTGCCTACGAATACAAGCCGTTGCTAGAGATTTCTGTCTCCGCTGATGGTGGGAGTGCTTGTGCAAGATCCAGAATGAAATGGGCGACTTTTTTTTTCTTTTCTTCTTCTTCTTCTTCTTCTTCTTCTTCTTCTTCTTCTTCTTCTTCTTCTTCTTTTGCAAAATGAACTGCGTGAAAGAAGAAGAGAGCTGTGGAGGGGTCTTTTATTTCATAAAAGTAAGTGAAGGTGACGGGCGGCTAATTGCAAAAATACCACACTCGAGGTCTTGGCCGCAGGATGTTGATCCAAAGGCTCAGGATGGGTGTGTGCATGAGTGCATCTACCTAGCTGTATGCATATGATACGCTGCCTATATACATACGTACATATATACATACATACATACATATATATATTTTTTTGCGGGGATACATACACACACCCACACACACATATATATACTCCTAAACAGTACGTTTTTTTTTTTAAAAAGTATATGTATATATATATATATATAACGTACTGTTTTTAAAAAACCGTACTGTTTAGGAGCTCAGAAAAAATGGCGCGCGCATTAATTCATTCGGCTTGGTATAATGCACGGATGAGTAAGTACGTACTATGTATAGTTTATTTTATTAAGCATAAACATATGTAATATCTAATTAATGAATTCGTGTATAGTACTTAAAAAAAATGATATTTACCGTCCGATCACGATCGACGACAAAAACCAACATATTATCGCTGTATACCTTATACTAGCACAGTGTCAAAGTATATATAGTAGTATATGCATTATTGGACGTACGGACACACATGCTAAGCCACTAGGAGCCTTGGTCTAGACGCAAACAGTTAGTCGTACTTGCTGCACCACCACCCTTAATTAATTGATTAATCTGATCACCCCAATTTTAAGAAGCTGCCGGCCTTAATTAATTAACAACTAATCCACACTCACCAGCGGCAGGATCACTACATGTTAACTAATCTCGTCGTGTTCTCTAGCTTGGTACGGTTGTCATAAGATCATCGAAAACTAATTAAATCTAGCGTGCCTCGTGGGTTGATTGATTGATTGATTTCCATCGATCAAACCAACGTCTAGCTAATTAAGCTAGCTAGCCGTCCCTTTACGTACTCACACTAACCAAAACAATTTATATTCAAAATTAATTAGCGAGCAGTAGCTATGTACGTCAGGTTAATTGCATTACATTATTATTGATCAGATTGGATTAGATCTAGGTTAGGTTAACGAAAGAGAATTAATTAATTAGCGTCGTCTCTTCTCCCCGGTGGTTTGACTGACTCGATCCGTGGACGGACCGACCGATCGGACCATTTGGACCCACATACGTAGGTAAAATATACTATCCTCTTCGTACTAAGAAATTTTAGATGGATATATCACATCTTTTAAGATCTTTTATATTTTGGGACGAAAGAACTGTAGTGTAAATTAATACGGAAACCTGTATAAATTACCATTGAACAGAAAATATACATATCGAAGATTTATTCACGTCATTAAGAGTAAAACTATTACACTTAGATTTTATCATAAATAAAATTTTACTTTTGATGATTTAGATACATGTTAAACTTTAACTTGGTTAGCACTCATATATATATATATATATATATATATATATATATATATATATATATATATATATATATATATATAGACACACACACTATACTATACGCGTCCTGTCCTCTTCTTCAACATGTGCATCATGTCGTACCATGTCTAACCAGGCAGACCGCCCTTGCATTTCGGGTATTAATTATCTAGCTTTCACATCCTTTGATTATAAAATGGAAAGGATTAATAAATTAACTAGTTAACCCATTCACACGTCGTCACATTGTTATCTACTCCTGCTTAATTTGATTTTGATTCTATCAACACACAATTGTTTAATGCTCTTTTTAAAAATATTCTGCTACTCTCATCAGACGTCGTGCAGCTTGTTGCAGACCGAAAGCTGGATCAATATTCTGCTCACTTGATGACCGGATCAAATGGGACAATTAACAAGTCAATTAAATCACAATAATAATATAATCCTTGCATGCACGCATGCACAGATGCAAGCAGTACACAGGTAAGCTAAAGCTAGGAGTGAGTGAGTGGCAGATGCAGGCTAACTGCGGGGCCCACCACGAAACTTTCCCGGATTTGCTTGTCGCGACCGTTGGGACACAGAGGGTGGCCATTATTGCGCTAATTAATTACGGGTCAAGCCATTAATTACGCTGATTAATCGCTAATCCCCATGCGGGCGTGCATGCATGCAAAACCGAGTCACCCACTCGCTTTCGTCTTCTTCGTTGCTTCCCACCTCCACCCACCCATCCATGTCGCGTCGCATCGCATCTCCTCCCATTTATATACCTCTCCTCCTCATCTCGCAACGCCATTCTCATCTCGACTCGATCGATTGATCGGTGTTTCGATCTTGGAGAGGTTAATTATATTAAGCGAGCTCGATTCGATTGGTTCTTGGTTTTCCATGGCCGGAGGGGGCGAGTTCGTGGTGGCGGCGGAGGAGTACTACGGTGCGCTGGTGGCGAAGGCGGCGATGGCGAAGAATGGGTACAACTGCGGCGGCGCCGCGGTGGTTAGCGGCGGGGCGCAGAGCGGGCTGACGTGCAACAATGGCGGTGGAGGTGGGGTGGTGGTGTCGAGGAAGAGGGGGAGGGAGGTGGAGCAGCAGTACTACGTGCCGCCGTCGTCGGCGGTGCTGCTGCCGATCCCGGGGATGGTGGTGGCGCCGGCGGCGGACGTCGCGGCGAGTCGGTTTGTGGAGTCCGGCATGGCGTGCACCAGCGGGCGCGCCGCGGCGGCGGCGTTTGGGGACGCGCTGGCGTCGGAGGTGTTCATCCAGAGCGGCGAGATCGACGCGGTGGTGCGGGCGGAGTGCGAACGGCTGCGCGCCGGGGTGGAGCAGGCGCGGAAGCGACAGTGCCAGGCGCTGGTGCGCGCCGCGGCGGCGGCGGCGTCGCGCCGCCTGCAGGAGACGGAGTCCCAGCTCGCGGCGGCGCGCCGCCGCGCCGCCGACCTGGAGGAGCGGCTCCGCCAGGCGGCCGCCGAGAGCCAGGCGTGGTGCGGCCTGGCGCGCAGCAACGAGGCCGTCGCCGCGGGGCTCCGCGCCACGCTCGACCACCTCCTCCTCCGCGCCGCCGCGGCGCCGCCGTGCGCCCCCGTCGAGGGCTGCGGCGAGTCCGACGGCCCGAACACCGCCGACGACGACGCGCAGTCGTGCTGCTTCGAGACGACGGCGACGAAGACGAACACGCGCCGTGGCGGCGGCGTCGGCGTCGGCGGAGGGAGGTGGGGGTGCAAGGCGTGCGGCGAGAGGGAGGCAGCGGTGCTGCTGCTGCCGTGCCGGCACCTGTGCCTGTGCAGGGCGTGCGAGGCGAGGGCGGAGGCGTGCCCGGTGTGCCTCGCCGTCAAGAAGGTCTCCGTCGTGGCGCGTTCGCCGGCGGACGTGTGAATATTGTGACCGATATGAACTGTTCTTTTTAGTATCATTTTGAGAAGTTGTTTGTGCTGAATGTGAAAATTTTGGGAGAATTTTGTCCATTCCCTGTACTCTCTTAGAAAAAAAGGGAATCTCTAGATCGATCCCCTTCTCACGCTCTCTTGGCTCCTCCTGTTTTGCAAATATGAAAATGTTTTTTTAAAAATTTTGTGTTCCGTATTCTTTTGTATAATCTTATATTTCATTTATTATTTTAAGAAATATAGATGGTAGAACATACAGTACATATTTATTTGATTACTTCGTGTTTAGTGCTCTACAATTGTGACTGATATGAATATTTTTGTACAACAAAATACTCCTAATAAACTTGAAAGTTTAGTGCTGACATTGTCGATACTTACCTTCATATGGGTTACAGCTTTGTCCTTCCTAACAATTTATTAGGAAAGGACATTGTCGATACTCTACAGCTTTGTCGATACTTGAAAGTTTCAATGACCTTTGAATACGTAAGCAAATTGTTCAAAACTCCACGAATATCCATTACTCCAACGTACGGGTCCAACAAAATTCATCACCACGGAGCCATTGAAACTTCTTTCTCAAGTACTCCATCCATTTCATATTACAAGTCGTTTGACTTTTTTCTTAATCAAAATATTTTATGTTTGACAAAGTTTATAAAAAAGTTAGCTTCGTGTACAATACCAAATCAATTTTGTTAAATTCAACATTAAATATATTCATTAAAAATGTTATTATGAAATTTGGCTAAACTTTAAAAAGTTTGATTAAGAAAAAAATCAAACGACTTGTAATATTAACCAGAGGGAGTATATAACTTTCACTGCCCAAAGCTCCACTTTTCCCTATGGCTCTGAGCTCACTCTGTGACTCATCGCTTCTATCAACCTTATACCGTCGGCATCTCTTGGACAAGATCGCTCCTCTACTCTCTGCGTTTTAGGCTATAAAACGTTTTGACTTTAGTCAAAGTCAAATTGTTTTTAGTTTGACTAAGTTTATAGATAAATATAGTAATATCCATGATACTAATTTGTCATCAAATCAATAATTGAATATATTTTCATAATAAATTTGTTTTGGGTTAGAAATATTATTATTTTTTTTATAAACTTAATCAAATTTAAAGTAGTTTGACTTTCACCAAAATCAAAACGTCTTCTAAGATGAAATAGAGTGAGTATTTCCCTCTCCTCACAAGTGATCTCATCTTTTGTGCCCGTTACCCTATTCTTGAGGTGCGATATGCTCACAAGTCATACGGCCTTGGATACATCTGCTCCTTCTATATCAAACATTGGATCAGGCAACTTGTGCTTGTCCAATTTGGGCTTTTTGCCTCCTTCATGCAAGCATGGGCCTAACTTTGGGTTTATATGGGCTAAACAACAAGACACACGGCCTAATTAACTGGCATGCACATGGGCCTGTGATGTGCAGCGCCTAGGCCGCGAGCCACGCTAAGCCCTGCTAGGCCGTGCGCACGTATGAACCTAGCTGGCCCAGGGGATTTTAGGCACATCGAAAGTCCAAAGTCCAAATTCAGCCCATACCGTATGCACAGATGCAAGAGGAAGCAATTGGGCTAGGCGTGGCCATCGTCCATACATCTTGTCATCTTAAACCGGTGTAAAATGACATCCTCAATAATATTTGATGATTGTTTTTTCTCACTTGATACCTACATGGCACATTGACCTAGTTGTCGTCCTACATAGTGCTCATTTACATGAAATAACAGTTAGCAAAAGATCAAAATAATATGTGGATGTCAGTATCCAGGGTGGGCCGCACATGGGCTGGCTCAGTTGCTTGCCAAGCCAGGTCCAATTCATGAGAGAAAGAGGCATATAAGAAGAAACGGGAGCTACACTGCCTGGGCATCGAACAGAAAGGAGGCAACGGCGGCGGCTGGCCTTGGCGGCTGGACGAACGGTGGCGGCTTGGTTCGGTTGAACCTCGTCGATCTCTATTCCCCCCACTCTCTCTTGTTTTTCCTCACTACTACATCTATAAGCTTCCGGAACCTAGAAGCTTGTATCCTTTACTCCTTCTCATCCAATCCCTTTGGTATTTTCCTGAGATTGTACTGGATTTGGTTGCTCCTGAGATTATTGAGTTGAGAAGAAGAGGTTGCTAACAGTGGAGTCCACGTGTCAGTCACAACGTTGGTCCCATATATCATCCTTTCTCTCCTCCTTCCTCTCTCCCCCTTGATCTCTCTTTCCTCCATCTTACTCATTCCTTCTCTGGCCCACCCGAGCGCAGTGTGACAGAGGGCACTACAAGAGATCTTATGATATGAGACGTTTCATTTACGTCACAAACACATAAAATTTTGTCACGTTTGGTCATCTGTGACGCTCGCGTGACGAAAATTCATTCGTCACCTATCATGCGTCTCTAATGGCGTTCTATGACGAAACCTTATTTTTCGTCATTAATCTAGTGACGATCCTTATGTCGTCATAACTTTGTGACGCTCATATTCGTCATTATCTAGCCTAAAAAACGTCATAAAATGTATTATAGGCTGTCAAGAACCATGTAGTTCTTGTGGGCTAAGCCCAATTGTAAATCTCGTCAGCTTTAGGCCTAGCCCATCTAAAATATAGCAATTTACACACTATTGGCCTGTTTAGGGCAATGTCATAAGCAACCTGTTTTTGGGCCAAATCCAATTACGTAGCAATTTATACACTATTTCAACCCAGTTTGCTAATTCATTTATTGCAGACTAGCAGTACCAAATACCAAGTGGGCCAAGCCCATTTCAAAAGAAATGAATTATATATTAAATTGCTTTAACTTTTAATATATTTTTCTAGAAATGCATTATATAAATTTATGACGTTTTCTTTGTGCCCCTTATGACAAATTAATATTCGTCACGATGTCCCATTGAAATACTTTATGACGATTTCTAGTTGGCATTAACGACGAACACCTTTTTTTCGTCACTAAGCCACCCCATCTCATACTAATCGTCATAAAATGGAATGTGCTAGTGACGAATAGCTCCGATGTCACGAGGAATTCGTCACAGAAGGTCATATTTCTTGTAGTGGGGAGAGACGATGGTAGCTGTCGAGCCCCGTCAAACTTAAGGAGCTTGGAGGCAAGAGGAGCAGGGAGCTCGGAGCCAATCGCCATGGTGACGCCGGGATGCAAGTGGGTAGTCCCGCTACCCGCATAAAAACCCTCTTGCTAGTATATTTTTCGCATGGTAGTACAAATTTAGAAGAAAAACATGAACTAGAAGTGGGATAAGCGGGAAAAAAAAGCCCGCTTGCCCGCCCCGCTTGCATCCCCAGGTGATGGGCATCAAGCTAGATATCTAAGCCGGGCAACGACGGGGGTAGTGGATGAGATCAGAGTGGAGAAGACGGCGAGGATGAGCGCATTAAGCAGGAGAGACCCCTCTACCCCCTCCTCGCTACTCGACGGTGGCCATCCCTAGAGTTGCACATCGGGATCCCCATCACTATATAGCACGATCTGAAGGAGAGGGGAAGGGGTCGAAATGGTGGGAGATTGAGTAGGAGTACGACGAGGAGACCACGTGGGGACGATCGAGGGCGATGGTGATGGCAAGGTGGAATCGGAATCGGGGTCGTCAGTTCCGCTGTTAGAGTTCGAGCTCCGCTATCTCCGAATTGTCTCTACCATGGAGGAGAAAAACGATAGTCGTTGATCTGATGTTTGTCGGCTCTACATGATATCTGCTTTCTTTGGATCTCAGCTTCGATGATGCCTGTCTCTCCGCCACTACCCCCATAACGTTTTTCTTCCCACTGGTGGTCTCTGTTTCCTTCACCACAACGCCATCGCGTCGAGCGCCCAACCGAGCTCGTCGACCAAGATTCGACTCAGACGAGGCTTTCTGAGCGACAATGGATGGTGGGAGACGATGCCGTCGGCTCAATGAAGGCTGAAAAAGAGAGGGTGATGACATGCGGGACCCATGTTTTTCCCTTGCACTTACATGTTGACCCATGTCTATTTTTAATGTTTTTTCTATGATTAGACAGCCACGTGGACGTTGTATCAGTGAAAACCACGTTGCAAACCGTAGAGGGAAGTTAAATACCTAGTTTTATCAGTCGAGAGTCAATTTACTCAGCCTTGCAATTGAGAAACGCGAATCAGATCGGATCAACAGGTGAACGAGTCAAAACGGACTTTCTCAAATCTCGGATGCTCTAGCTGCTAGGGCATGAAGGCCGTGCAGTGGATGCTCGACCTAGTTATGCTTACTTAGTGGGGTATTCACTCTATTTTCCAACACTACGTTCGTGCTAATTAAATAGAATTATATTACGCAGATAGTCACATTTAACCAATTATTCAGCCACGCACATGCACTATAGAGTTTTAAAATATATGATGTTTACCATCAACAAATGGCCCACATACGAACAATTATTGGAGCACCTAATTAAACGTCCATATATATATGCTGGCTTCGGTGTTTTCCCTCTGCTTAATTTTGGCCACCATGGAGCAAATTAAATTAGCTCTTGGTGTAGAATGGGATTACAGTGTATATAGTCTGCATGACAGTGGCAGCGAGCAGGATGAAAGCCGCGACGAGGGAGATGAACACCCACGGGTTCCTGAAGTAGCTGTGCACCAGGCTGGCTCGCCACCTGTTCCTCCTCTTCCTGCAGTGCGCGATCACCTGCCGCTGCACGCCGTAGAGGCTGCTGTGCGGGCTCATCACCGCTCCCCTGCTGAGATTGTTGAACAGCGCCGCCACAGCCTCATCGCTGCTGAACAGGTTGCTGATGATCCCTCTCGATTTCAGCAGCGCCACGTCCCTGGCCGTGTCGATGAGGTTGTCCAAGAAGATGACGGCCGCCATCGCGTCGTTGCCGGCGCCGGGGTGCATCCGCTCGAACGCCATCAGGTTGAGGAACATGCTCTCCGTGGAATCCATCACATGAAGCAACGGGATGGTTAGCACGCCGCCTCTGAAGGTTATCGCCCCTGCGAATCCACCACCAGCATCGGCGGCGGCCACCTTGAAACGGATTCCTGCTTCTTGGAGCTCCGCAGCACATGGAATCATGAAAACCCCGTTTGATCGTCCTGCACTGTTTTGGTGGCAGGTACCACGGATGTTTCTCTGAACAACATCCACGGGGTGGAGCCCCAGTGGGCCGTCGATCGCCGGCGCGTCGTCCGACGATGAGAAAAGAAAAGAAAGCACCGAATCATCGTTTATCCTTAGACGTTCTTCCTCCTGTGGTTAATTCGCATGACAGTACGGATCAACGCGAACCACATAGTATTAGAGCAGGTATAATAAATTAAATTAGTCAACAGACTCCAAAAGAATCCACATCAAAATGAAGGAGATAAAAGTAAAGAAAGAGAATAGAGCAAACGATAGGTGTGACGCCGGGGATAAGCACAGATACACATGCGCAACAGCCAGCATCTATCTATCTATCTATCTATCTATCTTCTATTATTATATACTAAAAATCTATTAAACTTCCTACAAACGCTTTCAAGCCGCCACGTGACATTCTACAAATGCTCTCATAATGCCATGTGGCACTCTAATAAATTAGAGAAAATATAAGAAATATCTAGCCATTGATTTATGCGCAAACATATGGATTAGATTTGTTAAAATCTCTCTCCTTAAACCGGCTAATGTCCTTCCTATGCGCAACAGATGTGAAAAAAAAGGAAAGAAAAGGTCTGTTATTCATTTGTTAATAGGTAATATACGGCGGCGAGACTGTCACGAACCAACAAGTCGGATCAGAATTATCTCCTGTGAACAAAATACAACCACCAAAACACAGATTAAGTCTAGCACCCCGTGCTAATTGAGTCGCACACAGATTAAGTCTAGCACCCCGTGCTAATTGAGTCGCCTATTGTCTACCAGCAGTCCAGCATGATTAGTATACGTTTGATCAGTTGGATAGTTGAGAAGAGTATTAGAATGATATATTGACACATCTAAATATTTCGAATAAATGATAGATATATATTAAATGTTTAATTGCCGTATAATTTAGATTAGTTGTATATATAACATAATCGTTTAATGGAAACATACCTATATTCTGTATTTTACAACACAACTACGTAGGACCCGGCCATCCGTTAGTTTTCTCTTTCCTTCCACCTCTAAGTTTTTTTTTCAAACTGTGCATATGTACCAAACACTCCTACGAGGCCGTGAAGAAGCCACGCCCAATGCCACGGCGGCGCCTCACGCTATCCATTGTTCCGCTTTCTTACCATCAATCTATCTATCTATTATCTATTCTATTATATACTAAAAGTCCATTAAATTTCCTATAAACGCTCTCATGCCGCCACATGGTGCTCTAAAAAGCTCTCAAGCTGCCACAAGGCACTATAATAAAATAGAAAAAAACTTAAAATTTCTGAGAAAAAAGAAAAAAAATCTATCCCTCCAAATTCTTAAAAAGTTGGTGGACCCATAATAATCTATCACTTCAAATTTACCGAGTAATACTTTCCATAAAAAAATTGACTAGAAAAGGCTGAGAAGGCATTGGTACGTACGAATTAACAACCACAACCGAGAAAAGAAGAAATGATATACAGCAAAAAAAAAAACATACTGTATACGTACGTACTACTGGAAAAAATTTTTTAAAAAAACATCGCTTTTTTTTAAACTTGGATTTTCACTTCCTTCGTATTTTTTTTATGACAGCCAACGTTAAATATTTAGTGAAACTACCGAAAGAAAACAACGCTCTTTAATCTGGATTTTCTATTATACTTCCTTTGTATTTTTTTATTGTTTTTTATATATTGATGACCAATGTCATATATTTAGTGAAGGTGGTAGTATAAAAAATATATATCACTTAACAAACATGCACAGCCAAAACTAGATCTATAATATAATATAAAATATCAAATAAACGTATCATTTCACACTATTATTGTTGAGTATAGATAGCATTTATTTGCATCAATGGGCCTATATATTGATAGTTCAAGATGAAATAATGAGTAATTAAAATATTCAGGACATATTGTCAAAAACACAAATAAAAAATGTATTGTCTAAAAATAAGTTGCATGTTTTTTCTCGCTAAACACGGTTTGAATTTTAGCCGTTAACGACTCAATCTACGCTTTTGATTTGTACGTATTTTTTAAGTACATAAGTAATAAATTTAAGGTTGAGTTGTAAAGTGTTTATCAGATTGGCTCCCTCATTTATCTTGAGCATGTTCTCAAAACTACTAAATTGTGCGTGTTGTGCAAATACATTCTATACATTTTTTTTAAAAAACTATTTTCATATTTGTAATATTTAATACTTAATTAATCATACGTTAATGGCCTATATCGTTTTGTGTGCCCTACATAAGCTCAATCAATGAGATCGAGTGTACCCTAAGTAGGAGATAAATTAGATTATTTACTATAAAATTTAAAATTAAAGAACCAAGTTAACTATATTATTAAAAAATCATTACTTTAGATCATATATATTATATGGACTAGCTATTGTTCACTAATCCATATATTTTTAAGAAAAAAATCAAATAGATTTTAGCATTCCTTCCCTCTCTCTTAGCTATAAAACTAAAACAGAAACAATCAATAATATTGAAAATCTTTTAGAAACACAGCTTGCACGCACCCTACCCCTTTAGCATCTTAAAAGACAGAGCCGGTACATTTTGAGATTGAAGAAGTTACCACGGTGCTTCACTGTCGATGGGTACGTCACCTACCACTAAAAGAATAATTAGTCGTAAATACCAACACCCATGTCAAATCTAGAACTTAACCCTGATGGGCAAGCTCCACCACGAGAAACCTAACCAGTTGAGCTGCGCTTACTTCGCAATAACATTGGATATTAAAACAACCATAATTTTTAAGCTATATTTCTGCAATACTCCTATGTCTTTTAAACTGGTAAACTATTAGTTATAATCGTTAGATCTATCTTACATAAAAAAAGAATGTATTCATGTACATGATATTTTTAAAATATTAATGCGCAATTATATTTCGTCATTATCGTATTCATGTTAGGCTGCATGGAACCTCTCACCCACCCTACATGAAATGTTCATATATGATCGCCTCTCAAACAACATCAATCATATTAGACTATATAAACCTAAACATTTAGTAGAACTTCATGTTCCACCTAATTAATCCTTTAATGAATTATGATAATAGATATGCAATTTCAAAAACGCCTTATTTTACTTATTTTTACTTTCAATTCGTTGACATGTTTTTAAAAAATAAGTCTACCTTAATTTCAAATGATATAGAAGATTATAAAAAATTACTTATAGATATTATTTAAATATGATACAATATAAAACTAATAGGTTAGAAAATTATAAAAGCAATTAATGCCGATGAAAACAATTTATAGAGAAATTGTGGTAGATGTAACATTTCGCTCTTACAAATATCTCAAACTTAGCAAAGTACACATGCCCGCGCATCGCGCGGGCTACCTTCCTAGTTATTATATTCTAAAAGTACATTAAACTTCCTATAAACGCTCTCAAATTGACAAGTGGCACCCTACAAACACTCTCAAGTTGCCAAGCTGCATCCTAATATATAAGATAAATCCGACCATCTATTTTTACTTAATTGGTGATCTATTTTTTGGATGGTTAGATCTACTTTTTGTAAAAAAAAAGAAAGAAAATCCGAAACGAACGTACAAACGTACTACGTAACAGTCGGACGGTGGACCCATATGGTTAGATCTATTTTGTAAAAAAAAAAATCCAAAATGAACGTACAAACGTACGTAGTTCCTTCTGTTCCTTTCTTTGTTATTTTCTATTTCATGAGAAAATAAAATCAAAATTACTTTTATTAGCAAAATAAATCACAAATAGACCAACTACTAGATCTATCAACTCTTCCTCCGTCACTTTAAAATCTTACGAACTCTTCTAAATCGCTACATGGTGCTATTAAATTAGACAAAGTATTAAAAAATCTTAAACAATACAAAGCAACTTACCATCGATTTCTAATTAAATTGATGGACTTAGGTTGTTATATTTTTTAATAAAAATTCAAAACCTCTCTCCCTCCCTCCCCACCCCCTTATAGTTAAACATTTTATAAACACCTCTAAGACACTATATAACATACTTATATTAAAGATAATCTTAGAAATTTCAGAAAAAAGACTATTATATACTAAAGGTTTATTAAACATTCTACAAATACTTATAAGCCACCAATTGACACCTTACAAACACTCCTAGGTCACCAAGTAACACTCTAATCCGAATTCTTAAAAAAAAACATCCAACCATCGGTTTCAATATAAACATTTGACACACTATTTTAGATTGTTAGATTAATCATTTAGAAAAATATCCCAACCCTCCCTTCCTCCCTGCCATGTACAATGTGCGCCATTCTTCTCTCTATTTTTTTTATCTCCTTAACAATTAAAATTAAAACTATCTATATGGGCAAAAAAAAATAAATGGACCTCCATCTATTACTTATATTCCGTTAGGCATCTAACGACTTTCTGCCAACTTAATTAATTTCTCTTAACATGCATATGAGAGCTACGTACCTATACAAATTGACCTTGATACTTTTAAAATGATCTTTCTAGGAGATAAACAAATATTTTTAAGAAAAATGATCATAGCTTCCGAATTACACGAATGATCTATGAAATAACTAATCATAATAGGTATTCATCTAGCAATATAGACAACAGGTTAAAAAGAAAGTTTGTGGTTGGTTGAACACCATACTGATAAGCATGTGGGTTGCATCTAGAAATCTTAACAATGAAATAACCTTGCAATGGCCTTAGCATTAAATCAAGCCACTTCCATATAGGAATTAAATACCATGTCCATTTTATTTATTTATTTTGTTAAACTTTCTACAATACATCATAAAGTCTTGACGTAGAACAATCTAGAAACATGTATTTGTTAGAAGACAATCCACTTTAGTGATGATTCGCTAAATACACTATGGCCATTATTTCAATATTTCATGAGAGAAAATTTAGAACGTATGCCTTTATCCCATGCCAGATTATATGCACTCACTTATATCTTCATCCTAAATTGCAAAGTTCAAATCATTTCAAGGATGAATCAAAGAATGAAAATATCCAAAAGAAAAAAATGGACATTAAATAAATTGAAAATTGAACAAATGTTGATGGATTTAAAACCCGTACTTAATATAAAATTCAAACATTTTACG